GGGTTCACCAACAGCCCAGCTCTGTTTTTGGGATGCACAAAGAAGGCAGTAGCTTTCTCCTGGATTTTGTAGGTGATGCTGTTCTCTTCAAAGGTCTTCAGGATACTTTCACACTTCACATTCAGCTCCATGTTGCTGTTCTTCACCTGGTTCACCTTGTCCACAACCATGGCATTGAACTGCCCTGTATGGGGCAGGGCCATACCTATATACAACCAAGCGCACAGCTGCCACACAAGCAGGTGTCTTGAAACTGCAAGCATTGCGCGCAAGCCAATGCCAATTTGCCAAGACCAGGAATCATTTGCAATGCACATGTGATTGAGGACCTATACACATTTTGACATTGCTCAACACAGCCAAGAGCTTGCACAAGCCAGCATGGCTTTTTGCTTGGAAACATGGAGTTCCAGATGCCAAGCACACAGAGTGCAAATTCTTGGCCAAGCATGGAGGCTGGCACAGGCACAATGGCACCACAAAAGACCATCAACAAATAGAACACTGAGCAAGCAACATGCTGCTTTGCTGCGTATCAACACAAGCAAGCCAGGCCCTGGTGGAAGCTGCAAACATACTGCACAATCGCAAGCACAAAGCAGTGATGGGCTCACTTTGCTGAAAAAACTTGCTATAGAAACATACTTTACTTAAACAGTTCATGCTTGCAAACATTCGCCGCACACTGTGACATGTCTTTTTAGCATTGCATGGTGTAAAGAAAATGCTTAACATGGCTTTCTCCTAAAAGTTAGCTAACCCCTCTAAGACACTTATTTTCTTATCTTGGTTTTAGTAGCAGGCACTAGCAGCTACTCAAGTTAAGAACATGAGCCTAACTTCTACTTATTGATGGTAAGCATATACATTGCATTGCCAGGACTACAGGTGTTTAGCTGAGACTTGCATGATGCCTAGCATCTGGCAAGCTTCCACCTACTATTGATGTATAATTTGGATACAACACATAACTCACTACTAAAGAGACAGCCTGCCAAAGTAGTCGTTTTTTCAAAGTACCCGTGCAGCGCGCGTGTGTGTGTGTGTGTACGTGCGTGTGCGTGTGCGTGTGCGTGGGCGTGGGCGTGGGCGTGGGCGTGGGCGTGGGCGTGGGCGTGGGCGTGGGCGTGTACGTGCGTGTGCATGTGCGTGTGCGTGTGCGTGTGCGTGTGCGTGCGCGTGCGTGTGCGCGTGGGCGTGGGCGTGGGCGTGCGCGTGCGCGTGTGTGTGTGTGCGGAGTGACAGAATACCCTGTCACCACCTTGTGCCGGTTTTGGAAGCAGGGGGCCAGCGGCCATCAAGCAAACGCTGGCCAACGAAGCTATGCTTGATGGTGGATGCACGGATTGATCACCCGTGTGTACCTGCTTTTGTGAAGTGATGTTGATGAAAGTCCTTTTGGCCCTCTTCTTTCGCTCGCTGTGTGTGCTTCATGTTGGAACTTGTAACGTTTTCGACACTAGAGTGAAGCCAAGTGACCTGCCAGCCGAACCTTATCCGACTTTAGACTTGTCAGTTGTACTCGAGACTCATCAG